TATATATATATATATATATATATATATATATATATATATATATACATATATATTAAAATTAAAGTAAAAATATTAAAAAAATAGAAGCAAACAAAAACTTTTCACTGGGTTCAGAGTATAATAATTAAATAAACAAAAATTTGAGAAAATCTAGATTAACAAAATAATGTCAAATAATCATATAATTAAGTAAATACAAAAATATTTAAATGAATAAATTGGGTAACAAAATTGAAACAAATAAATGTGTATAAACTAGATAACATAAAAGTTGTAAAAGATTTTTATTTTATTTGATGAATAATATAACAATAACAAATAATGTTTTTAAAAGCATTTCTTTAGTGATTTTATGAAAATTTATTTAATTTAATTTTCTTGGGTTTTTAGTTTTTTTTTTTTTTTATTTTATTTTATTTTGGTATACAATTTTTAAAATAATATTTTTATTACTTTCAATCAAAGTTGATATTAGAGCTAAGCATAACTCGATACCCAAAAGAGCTGCAGTCCTTGAAATTGGTATTTGGTTAATAGGAAAGTGTTATTGCCCCAATTTCGGCAACTGTAATTTCAGGAAATGTCGTTCGCCTAATGCCACGCCTTAGATAGCAGGTAATGCGAACAAAAGGCGCACTTAAATTAAGAGCCGACCTTTGCAACTCCTCTGACACGCAATTTGTCAGCTGCAAATTGAAATTGAAATTGAAAAATGGAAATTGAAATGTGGTCGAGGGTCGCCTTTGAGATTGAGGAATGGCGCCGTAGGTGGGGACGAAGGGGTGTGGGCCTCCGAGCGAGGGCAGCTCCAAACAGCTTTCGATGGGGTAGCACAGCTCGTTTTCCAATCATGTTATCAGAGTGTGCGACCTTGTCCATGAATATTTAATTTTTTCCATTTTTACTTTACTCGTGTTTACTTGTTCGCATTTTGCCCTTTTGTTTTTGCTTTTGTTGTTGAAAATTGACAATGAGGTCGAATTGTATGGCAAAGTTTTTCATTATCGCCTAACTCAGACAATGGAGAGGCCACTGAACTGACGACTCGATTGTGTTCACCTGTTTACCCAAGCAAATAATCATAATATGTATACCCAACTACACATATGTATACTATTTAACTCTGTATGTGGAAGCCCTCTCTTATCGCAACGATTTGGTCAATACGCTTCGCTGCCTTGTTCTCCTCTATGCGGCTGGCTTTATCTCTATGCATATATATGCCCAAAGATCGGGAGTTTGGCAATTATTTAAATAGAGCAAATGGAACAAGTTTTTGTTGCTGTTGTTGATTTTGGGGTATTCTTACAGACAGCGTTCTATGTCAGTTCGTTGGGGCTTAGAAAGCGTTACGAGCTCGTTTTTGGGGCTTTTGTCTTATCTGAAAGCAACTTTTTGTAAGCTACTTAAGCACAATTATGATATATTATATCATTACATAGACTATGCTGATTAGGAAATGAGAAAGCAAACACGCGAGCTCTAAAGTCTATTCAGAAGACTTGAAGTTTATTTTGAAATTCGTAATTGTGTTGACTTAGACTTGGACTTAGACAATCTATCATTGTGTTTATGGAATATTTTGTTTTAATAGTGCTTTATTCGGTATCCATCTAGAGAAGCCTTTGGAGATCATTAATTATATACTGGTCAAGGTTTTTTAATAATATTTTATTTATTTGGAAGAATGTTAGACTCGCTTAAGATGCTCCTTTTTTTAATAATATGGATGTATTTTAATTTTTTTTTTTGCATGCTCCATTTGGCCTCTGCTGCTATCCCTCTATCAAGAGAGAGATATAACTAGACCTCTCTCTCTCTCTCTCTTTCTTTGTCTCTTCCCTCGATCTATCTCTCTTATTCTGTCTCACTCTTAATCACTATCTCACTCTTGATTTCGACCATCTCTCTCTCTCTTTCTCTCTCTTAACTCCCAATCGTTCTCTATTTTTGTTTACCATATTTGAATTCCCCAGTTCCTGTCTAAAGCCAGACATATTAATATTATCTGAAGTGCGAAAAATAATATTTTTTATGGTTTATAAAGACTTTGGTCGTCGAGGCCTAACTCGAGCAATCTTCAAGGTGCTGAAGAGTTTCCTATCGCTTAAGCCAAAAGAATAAAAGCAACAAATTTTAGCCTTAATGCCAGCAAAGCTTGCGCAAGTTCTTTTCGCGATCGGAAGAGAGACAGACAGAACTGAAGAGAGAGAGAGAGAGAGAGGGAGCGAATGCTATCAAGAACTCGACTAAATATATATTTATATTCATGATATTTTGTATATAGACATGTGCATAATAACCCGAGTCAGGGACTGTCGGGGCTTCTCATTGCCCGATTGTCGGCTGAGGTTTGTTTTTTTTTATGTTTTGGTTGGGTTTGGTTTGTTGTTGCCTGCCATTCTGAGGGCTACCGTTGAGCGATAAGACACGTGTGTGTGTGTGTCCGTCCATGTAGAGGAGTGGGTTGAGCGGTCTTTCCGTTGTTATAAGCAAACATTTTGAAAGCATTTGCAGAGCTGGCCGGAAAGACAAATCAATGAAAACAAAAAACAAAAAGACCAAAGCAATGTGAATAATACCAAAAAATGAAAGTAACGCCAAACAATAAGGTGCCAATAACAACAACAACAAAAACAGCAACAGCAACAGAAGCATTAACAAAAGAAACAACAACACTAACAACAAGTGCCTCGATAGCAACAAAATTAGACAGCGAATCAGAACCCATTATAGATATAGCCAAAACTGAAAGATCAAGTGCCACAGCGAACAGCTCAGCGCCCGCATCGTTTGTGCTTAAATGTTTGTTGCGTACCGCGCGCTTTATGTGGCAAGTGACAACGATACCCTCTAAAATTGGTGATACCATAGGCACACTGTACCGCTATGCCCAGGACTCGGTCGATACGTTTCTATGCGTAGCTGGGTGAGAACTTCGTTAGGACAATCGTTAATATATCTCCACAGTTATATACATATATGTCTACAGATATATGTGCTCTAAATGCTGATGTGCTAACAATACCCTGTCTCTTTTGCGTTTGTCTCATTGCAGTAAGGCGCGTCGCAAAGAGCGCGATGGCGATCAAAACTCAACAGACACCAAATTGTATTTGGAGGAGAGCGTCCTTGAACGCAAACTACCTGAAGCTGATCTCAAAGCCCTTGTCGATCTTCCAGCTGGCTTGGACTACAATGAATGGCTAGCCTCACACAGTAAGTAGCGAAAATTAGCATATATGGGATGAAAGATATCCTCTGAAAGCCTTAAAGAGAGAGAATATATCATCGCTTAAGCATATTTAATCCAATTTCCTATATACTCCTTTCTTTAAATAGGGTATATTTTATGTCTGTTTTTCTTTAGCGAAAGTTTGACATTAGTTCCAGTAGATAGATATCTTTGATCAGTAGTGCTACTCTGGAAAACAATAGCACAATGACTTTGTAGATATTTTGTATGATCTGATTAGTTCCCCAGACGTATAGTGAATGACTAGAGAGGTATATTAAAGTTGGCACATGTTAACAGATAACAAAAGATTAAATAGATATCCATTTGGTTTAATACCTTACAAAACTCATGAGGACATACAATGGGCATATTAGGGAAGTATACTCAGAAAATATATACAATAATAAAAGTTCGTTTTTATTTTTGGAAGTTTACTATATAATATCCTCCTGTCTTCAAATCTTATACTTTGATTTTTAAAATCCCTCAGTTAAAAAATATTTTATATTACAAACAGAACATATAATTTTAGATGTTCATCAAATTTATTCTAATTTAAATTGTATTTTTTTTTAAATAATTAATTAGGTCTATAGAGCTATATATATTTATTATTTAACAGTTCTTTTAGTAATCTCTCATTCAAAGCACAGTCTTATACTTATATCTTCCACTCCTCCTATTCCACAACTTCGCCAACTCTCTTCCGACCACTGGGTATCTCTCAGTCTTCCATCTAGCTCTACCTATCTCGCAGTCCAACGCTCAACAGCTACTTCCCCACTCAACGTTTGATTGTGTGCGTGTGTTTGTTTTTCACGTGATATTCGTGTTATGATTTATTCGAATTATTTGTCCATTCATCTATGAATTGCTATTAGGTTTTGTTGTTGTTGCCGTTGTTGATTTGCTACCGTGTGATTATAAATGTTGGTAATTTTGATAGACAAGTTGTTTGGTATTTGAACCTCGTGACTTCTGGCCACACGGAGATCGAATGGTGGCTCTCGTTCGCGACTGATTCAACTAACTGGGCTTAGAACGTGCCGATTGACAGTTGACAATGGGAAGCTGCTTCCCAAACAGCTGCAAATGGAGGCATAGCAACAGATATCGCTTAAAGCATGAATGGATGTAGCTAAACAGAGGCGTATTAACCGTCATTTACCTCGTAGATTATAAGCTGCAGTTGATTGGGCAGTAGGCCAGGTGTAGAACTACTATAGATGTATGTATGTATATACAGGTGTAGAACTACGACTCCCCGTATATAATAGAGTATCCGCACAGGGATTTATCTATCTGTCTGTATTGTACGATATTACAGATAATAAAAGCTGGGCACTTGAAATTGAATATATATTTAGCCTTATAAACCTTCCACAGTCGTCTGTAATCGAAATACCGATAAATATCGATAGTTATACTTGATTTCAAGTTCAGATTTCTTTGATGTATATACAAATTTCAAATATTTTAGAATCAAGACATTTCCACCTAGCGCTAATATAATATATAGAGCTTTGAGTTTTGGTACATCCACTCTACATTGCAAAAGTTCACAAAGTCAATGTTGCCCTTAGAAGAATTATACGAAATAAACTGAAAGCCCACATACTCGCTTTTGAATCCGCAAATGAGTATTATTCTAGTTATTCTACTTCAAGTAAATCTCTATTAAAACGCTTGCTTGTTTTCTACTCTGCTGAACTCAAGATTGGCTTAGTGATATAAAACAGGCACTTAAAAGCTTTTTAATTCCGCTTCCCCTTTGATAACAATTATAATGGTCTATAAACCTGGTTTTATATTCTTTTTAAGTGGCAACATCAATTATATATAGAGAGTTACGAAATGAAGACCTACCCTAAGCTGGAGCATAGAAACGAAGTCCAGATTGAGGCATGTTTCGACGAGTGTTTGATAGTAAATTAGAATTGGAATTACCTCAGCTTAGAGCGGTACGACAAAATAAGGGGAATATTTATAATAAATATCTCAAATATCTGAAATATGAATAAGAGATTCGCTTTTTGCTAAACAGTTTAGAGTGCTACGACTATTAAAGCTTCTTGAACATCTCTAGTTACGATCGAATCAGTATGCCAACTGAATTCCAATTAGGTCTTTGGATGGCGTCCTTCTGCGATGCTCCAGTTAGGCACTCTGTGGGTGGTCCTAAATTTTAATTGGCAATACTAGCTTACATCATTCGCATGATTATCCACATCGTCATCATCATCATCATCATTGTCATTGTCATTGCCGTCATCTTCTGTATACGTGTTCTCGCAGCAGTTCGTCAGATATTACATCATCTCGTGTTAATCTCATCGAAAATAATGATAGGTACGCAAATAGAAATTAACGCATTGAAAGATGCCTTTTGCAGCCTTTCGTATAATTGGCAGTGTTTCAGCTGAATGTAATATATTAGCCCCCAAGGCAACCGCCCCCTGCGCGCGCCAGCGACTTTGATTATAAATTTTCTTAATAATCAACTGCAAAATGCCACCAGCTGGGGTGGGGGCGGGGACGAGGGGTCGCATGGTAAACAGTAGGGGCAGAAGTTGACTTCATGCAGATAGATGAATGGATGGATACGTGCATGCAGAGAGTGTTTATACAGAGTATATGTACTTATGCCTAGCCCCTATCCATTAAAAATGATTTCATTGGCCAAGCCATTTTGAATTCTGCCCCGCCCCCTGCTCCGTCTGTGTGCATCGCCTTGTTCCGCGCATAATGCAATTGGGTCTGACGTAATACAAGAAAACTATCGAAGCGATTCCCTTTTGTTCTTCCATCTGACGCCCAGTTGTGCCAATATTGAGTTAACATTGACCCATTTAACGATACTACGAGCGTGCCTCTGAAGATAAAACTTTGACGAGCTGTCGCTGTCGCCTTCGCTGTCACTGTCGCCGACCCCCAGCTGGGTGTTTCAATGTCAAGTTTATACAAACACAGCTGTCATTCACATATAAGAAGAAGAAACACACTGGGGAAAGTGAAAGAGAGTGGGAAAGTGTGTGTGAGAAAGATAGAGAGTGAGAGAGAGTATGAAGGACAAAGCTAATAAATAATTTTTAATGAATGTAAAGCATTTAGATTGGTTTATGGCTGAAAATCGAATCAGATAATATATTAATATATTCAAAGAGAAAAGAAATTGTTTAAAAAAATAAATAAAATGGATAATTTATGAGTTAGGATTAGAAAAACAATTGACTTGTGTTGTGTGAACTTTTCAAATTTTGAAATTTGTTTGATACTAATATAATAGTAGGGAATATGGAAATTGAAAAGGTACATACAGAAATCAAATACAACTACAGTAGAACCCGGTTATAACAACGCTTAAGGGACCGTTGTTATATCCAAAAGACGTTATATTCTACTGTAATCCATTTGTAATTTAAGCAAATTACTTTATTCTGAATCATAATCTTATATCATATGCCCTCTCTATATCTTACAGCTCTGGCTCTCTTCGAGCACGTGAACTTGGTCTATGGAACTATTAGTGAATTTTGTACACAATCCGGCTGCGCCGATATGACCGGACCGGGCAACAGGTGAGTCTTGCATGGAAATTGAGAATGCCTGAGATCAGTTCTAATTGCCTTCCGAAATTGCTTTGCAGAACGTACTTATGGTTCGATGAGAAGGGCAAGAAGACGCGGGTCGCAGCGCCGCAGTATATCGACTATGTGATGACCTTTACACAGAAAACGGTCAGCGACGAGTTGATCTTTCCAACCAAATACGCGAACGAGTTTCCCGGCTCGTTCGAGTCGATCGCCCGGAAGATTTTACGCTTGCAATTTCATGTGATAGCGCATCTGTATGCGGCGCATTTCAGAGAAATCGCGCTGCTCGGCTTGCACACCCATTTAAATTTGACGTTCATGCACCTCACAGCGCTGCATCGCCGCTTCAATCTGATCGACGAGAAGGAGACGGACGTGCTGCGCGATCTGGAGGTGGCGCTGCGCTTGACCGACGACAACAGTGTCTGCGGTCAGGACTCGCAAACCGATTCCGGTTCAGCATCCGCCTCCGCGTCTGTCTCGGCCTCTGCCTCCAATTGTGAGCAGCAGCAGCAACAGTCGCAGCAGCAGCCGCACAACAACAGCAGCAGCAACAGCAACAGCAACAGCAACAATAGCAACATTAGCAATTCCTCGACCGAGGCGCTGCATGTCAATTCACAAAGCAGCTGCGGCACATCGCTGATTGACGGCGACGCCGCAGCCCCGCCCATCTGCACGCAGCCGGAGCCGGGCGCAGTCGGCAAGCCGCTCGGCAGCGGCGGC